CATATCTTAAGCAATAATCCATACTAAAAACTTCCATACAAAAATTTATTTTGATCGGTCCGTTTCTATGATAGCTGTGGTCTGATATGAACAATTCGTTCGAAGATTGTAGCGATATCTTGGATCGTCATCATCCATGCCATATTTCGTGAAGATAACTTGTCGTAAACAATTTGTTTCATATAAAAACTTAATTTAAATTGTCAGTTTGCCGGATTTCGTGAAGATATCTTATCTAATGAACAATTTTTCCATGCAAGCACTTGATTCCGATCGTTCAGTTTGTCTGGCAGATATATGCTATGGTGATCCGATCTGTAAAATTTTTTCGGATATTGCAAAACTTCTAGCAATAACTTATGCCAAATTTCGTGAAGATATCTCGTCAAATGAAAAAGTTTTCCATACAAGTATTTAATTCCTATCGTTCAGTTTATATGGGAGCTATATGCTATAGTCATCCGATCTATACAATTTCTTTGGAAATTGCATAGCTTTATTTGACAAAAACCAATACTGAATTTCGTGAAGATAACTCGTCAGATGAAAGAGTTTTCCATACAAGCACTTGATTCCGATCGTTCAGGTTATATGGCAGCTATATGCTATGGTCATCCGATCTACACAATTTCTTTGTCGAATAGATTATTGCCTTAAATAATAATCTGTGCCAAATTACGTGTAGATACCTCGTCAAATGAAAGATTTTCCCATACAAGCACTTCATTCCGATTGTTCAGTTTGTATGGCAGCTATATGCTATAGTCATCCGCTCTAAATAATATCTTCGGAGATTACATTGTTGCCTTAAATAATAATCCGTGCGAAATTTTGTGAAGGTACCTCGTCAAATACAAGAGTTTTCCATACAAACACTTAATTCCGATTGTTCAGTTTGTATGACAGCTATATGCTATAGTGGTCCAATATCGGCCGTTCCGACAAATGAGCAGCTTCTTGGTAAGAAAAAGACTTGTTCAAAATTTCAGACCGATATCACGGTGACCATTTATATATATACTTTATATGGTCTCCGCCGTTTACTTTTGGATGTTAAACCCTGTTCAGGGTATAATGAAATATCCTCATTTCAAGGCGCTAGAAATATATAATTAAAGTTCAGGTTATGACTTTAAAAATGGAATAAAGGGCAAACTCGAAGGAATGTTTGGTATCATTTTTTGTATGTTGGTGAATTTGTAATCTGAGTCGGACGTTAGTTTTTTTAATATTATATTTCTAATTGCTCATATGTGTGTGTGAATGATTAATTTTTTATTTCTTGTTCATGATGTTCATGATTATGGTTTGTTATAAATTTTTGTAGAAATGCTCAATTGTATTTGTTTGGTCGTTTAAGTGGATATCCGTTCCACACATGTTCTCCATCTATAGTAATTTAACCGTGATCTAATATTAACAAAGGATTATTGTTTTCCTGAATAATGTTACATTTGGCTTTCTTATATTCTAGTAGAGGTATAGTACAATTATCTTCTGTCAGTTGTGTGCATATACATTCCCACTCAATGGACATTCGGCAATGTTTTTATAGATAACTAATTTTCCAAATTTATACATTAATGGTGTAATATTATATAGTCTACATTTCTTTATAATAAGTGGATATTTATGAATTGTTACTACTGAATTTTGATACATACCGATATGTATATCTGTATATTCTAATATATTTATTATAGGTGTGTCAATTTCTTCATTAATTATTATTTCTTTAACACCGTTTAAATTTAAAGTGATTAAATAAAAGTTTCCATTTTTTGCAAAATTATTTGTATTTTTTATGGTTATATGTTCTTGATATACCACATCTAATATTATATTTCTATTTATTGATTAGAGTATTATATATCTTTTCAAATTGTGAGTTAATTTTTCTCTGTTGGTTATTGTTTTGTATTCATTGGTTTAATACTGGTTTTATTTCTATTAGATCATCATGATCTGGTGTTCATGTTATAAACTTTAAAATTGAACCTAAGAAATTTAATGATCTCTTTACTTTATGTGAAAGGGTTATTAGTTGAGATTTTAAAGTTTCTATCCTATTTATTAATAATACGTATTCTTGATTTTCATTTACATTATACATGTTTCTTATTCTTTTTTCGTATGGTGTTGGATTGTAGTTAGGTTGGCTACATGATAGAGATGTGTTGAATTTTCAAATAAGAAAGCGGGATTCATTTTTGTTAATACGTATTTCTTGTTATTTAAATTTGTTGTCACAGCTCACAATTTTTATAAGTAAGAAAAATAGTATGTTGTTTGTTTCCTAGTACTATCTTTATGTATAATTTTCCCTTTATCTGTTAAGATTGTGTACCCACGATCTTCTTTTACTTTTTGTTTATTATTTTTTTTTGTTTTCACTTAAACTGTTTCACCTGTTTTATAAGTAATTGTTTGCCTCTTTTTGTTGTTTTATCGCAAAAGTTTATCTTGTTTTTCACTTGAAATATCTCTTATTTCATGATATTTTTCTCTATTAAAAAATAGTTCTTCGGGCTTGTATCCTGTAGATGAGTTAATGATTTGGTTATATTGGCATACAGCGTTGAATATTTCTTCACTTGCGTGTTTTTATCAGCAGCTAGAGTTTGACACAGTTATATTAAAGTGCCACTTCGACTTGAGCCTATGAGTGAATATTTGGGTTACTGCTAATCTTTCATATACTGATTTAGCTATGTTTCCGATAAAGATATTCTCATTATCTGTTATTAAATATTTAGCATTTGGGTACAATTGCGATAGTATTCCTTCAATGTATTTATGACATCTTACTTTATTTTCTAGTTTACATATGTAGAAATATTTGGAATATTTCTGTGTACTGCTAATGTATAAGTTAGCACCAAAAAAGCTATCCCTCCCTAATAACACTTAATTCTTAAGTTAAACATAAAGTGAAATATGTCAACCGTTTCTGATAAACAACAGCGGCAGCGCTGCTTTAGAAGTTAAGTTTAATGTTAAGTAAGCATAGAATTAAGTTTTAGTAAGGAGTTATGCTCGCCTAAAAAATATATTATATATATTCTGTCAAATAAATAAAAAAAACCTAACTGGGACCCGAGCAATATTTTAAGAGGATAACTTAAAAAAATAAGACGCGTAACCGAAAAGTGTACCATAAGTAGTGCAAAACCATACGTGCCCAAAAACACCAGCAATGTTTTAAGAGGATAACTTAAAAAAGTAAGACGCCTAACGGAAAAGTTTACCATAACGTGCAAAACCATACGCGTCTGAAAACTGACGCAAAAACATAACGGAAAAACCGATAGTTCCTAAAACACCCGCAGGAATTAAAAGTACCGTAAGTAGTAGGGAAAAGAAGCAGCTGAGCGGACTTATTCACAAAAGAAGAGTGGCAGCAAGGGGTGAAAGAGTGTACCTTAGTACCGAAAGGAAAGAGGAAAGAGGAAAGAGGTACGTTCACCGGCCATTAAGCGGAAGCTTATTTTAATGTAAGACATACGCAAAGTTATAAAAAAGTAATAATTAAGAATATATAAAATATTAAATATTTTAGGAAAAAAGAAACAGAAGAAATTAATTAATAATTTAATAATATTAAAAAACAGAAAAAGTATTTCTGCGAAATTTGTAATAGAAATTAATATAAATTTTCTGAAAAAGAAATTCTAAAATATAAATATTCTTAAAAAAAATTTGTTTTGAGAAATGTGTTAAACAAATTAATTCTGTTTTTATAAACAAATGCATTTCTATACTATTGGAACAAAACACATTTATAACAAAAAAATAACTCTGCGATTCAGCAAAAACCGAACCCTAAACATATTATTAACAAATAAATAAAGAAAAAATATATACTCATAAACAAAGACGTTTACAGTCTATAATATTGAAAAAAAAAATTATTATAAATTAATTCAAAATGAATAACCCTACACCCATTAAACAACCACTCGTTACCCTGCTCCCCAATTATCACCCGAATTAAATAATTTAAGAAACAACATGTGACTAAAATTTTTCAGACAGACGCACATAATTCAATCCTTCTTTTCAGGGAGCGCTTCAGAATTCAGTTCCTGGTAAAAAAATCGTCAAACGTATCCTTAGGATATATCAACCTACGAAAGGAACGCCCCGATATTTTGGTATACTAAATGTTATTAGAAAAAAGTTAATAAGGGAAGCAGACATAGCCCTAGAAACACACCTCTAGAATGGATGGCAATATCTCGTTACCTAACAACCCACTATGCTGACAAACGCGACATAGGTACATTAGAATACCAAATGACCTGTCTTGTACCATTATCGAATTCTACCATAAAGTATAAGTAAGGCATCTATCCTTAATTCTTAACAAGATAGGATGCACGGAGGTAGGAGAAGAAGCTGTACATCTACTGTCGGGGTACTCGACGTTGAGTTTGCCGGTGTGCCAAATAAAATAAAATGTTAATTTAATTTCGACAAAATGTAACTTTAATTACTTTTAGTATATAGGGTAAAAATATGATAATTTGTGTGGGTTAATTAAGTGTTATATGTACAATCCAATTTATGTATT